ATCACCTGGGGACTTGCTAAAAATATAGATATGCCTGACCCATCCCGCAGGATTTCAGGGATGAGGGGTGATAAAGCCAGGGTTGAAAGTCACTGAAATAAATTACTCATGAGTTCAGCATCACCATCTGTGAATCTCAATTTAAAATTGACATGCTAAAAAGTCCCATAAAATGGGCATAAGTATAAATAGCGATTACATAAGAGATCTATCTCATTGTACCATAAACTACACTCATAACAAAAATATAGCTCTGTTCTATCATAGAGTGAAACCAACATGCTAGTACACATCCTTGGTATTCACGAGGGTTTTTGAATTGACTAACCATTTAATGATAATGGTGGTATTGCCCAATAAAACTTTAAAATACCTTTTTAGACTTTTTTAAAAGTAATCTTTTCTTTTCTTTTCTTTTTTTTTTTAAGACAGAGTCTTGCTCTGTCACCCAGGCTGGAGTGTAGTAGCTCGATCTCGGCTCACTACAACCTCTGCTTCCTGGGTTCAAGCGATTCTTCTGCCTCAGCCTCCCAAGCAGCTGGGATTACAGTCATGCACCACTATGCTCGGCTAATTTTTGTGTTTTTAGTAGAGACAGGATTTCACCATGTTGGCTAGGCTGGTCTCAATCTCCTGAGCTCATGATCCACCCACCCTGGCCTCCCAAAGTGCTAGGAGTATAGGCGTGAGCCACTGCACCCAGCCTTAAAGTAATATTTTCATTGTAAAAAAAAAAAAAAAGAGAGAGAGAGAGATTGGGAAAAAGTGAAAAATAAATAAAAGCCCATATTACCATCCAGAAGTAACCACTGTTAATACCTTATTGTATGGTCTTTCAAACCTTAAAAAAATTTTAATAGTAAAAGTTGATACATTTCTTCTCCTTACTGCCAGTTCTTTAGGTTTATCAGTTATAAATGCCACTGCTCAGAGGGAGATAAAAGGGCTCTAGGATAGTGCTACCCATGACGTGCCTCAAATGCTGAACTATATGTTATTGATCCATAAAGATAAGTATAGTATTGAGAGTGTTTAGAAATATTTATGGCAACTTGACATTTTCAGTATATTTCTAAAAGCCCATTGGTCCATGACATATTTAAGGTTTTAGATAGTTGATAGCACACAGGGTCTTGTCTGGATACCTTGCCAACAGTTCTGATCATCAGTCTACTCCCTCAGGAAGTCATAAAAAGCATAGTGTTGAGGTGTGGGGTGAAAAAACAGGTTTAGAACCTTACCAGCCGACATGTACACAGAAGAATGTAAGGGGAGCTGACCCCACTTCTCTCAGTGGTCCTCTCTTGGGGATGACATTCAGAGAGAGGCAGTGTGCTTTCACTTTCTGCTTTATCTGCTTGTATGTATGTTTTGTTTTTGTAATGTACATGTACTACTTTTATAAAAATTGTGAGAAAAAAGGTTATTGCCATTTTAGAAAAAAACAAAAACCAATGCTCAGGTCCTGGACTTTTCCAGTGGTGCTTCCTGGCTTTCCCAGCTTGTCAGAACTGTTCTGAATCCATCACAGCCCTAACACCATCCAGGACACACAGGGAGTTCACAATTCATACTGTGTGTGTGGAATATTTTTAGAGGGCATATTCAGAAGAAAAGAACATTTTTTTTTTATAAATACATTTTAGTTTAATCTGTTATAACCTATGTATCTCATTTTATGCATTTAAAACATTATACTGAACAGGATTCATAGGCTTCATCAGACTGACATTTCAGACTTCAGTTGGGTTTTTTTTTTTTTTTTTTTTTTTGAGATGGAGTCTTTCTCTGTCATCCAGGCTGGAGTGCAGTGGCGCAATCTCTGCTCACTGCAACCTCTGCCTCCTGGGTTGAAAAGAACATTTTAAGTGGTGATAAAGCTCCATGTAAATGAGGAATGTTTGCTGTCAGTGCCTGATTCCTTGCTTTGCTTCTAAATGTGGTTATTACTTGTCTTCAAAAAGGTATGGTTTCCGAAAGCCACCACATGTGGAGCTAAAAGCTCGGCCAAAACTTGGAGAGAGAGAAGTGACTTTAGTTCATGTGACAGATTGGATAGAGAAGAAACTGGAGCAAGAATTTCAGGTAAACCTCCAGTGTTATCTAGTATTTCACACCCAGTATAGAAGCTCTGGGTAGAACCAAGGTTCTGAACGTCATCTGGGTCAGGATCCTCTTTTGATAATCCAGTGATGACCTTCATCCTGCAAGAGTATACATTTGATCAAATATGGGAACACAATTTTAGGTACAGTATCAAAGCCCTGAAAGTTATCCATAAAACATTAAAGTCATATTCAGAGGAAACCCAAAAGATGTGGGTCAGAGCAAAATGATGACGTCTGTTACCAGCAAGCCTGCTAGGACTCTCGGCTTTGTTTTCCCTCATGCAAGGCCTGGCGTTCCCCAACTCTAGCACCCGGCCTGTGGTCAGGAAGGTTGCTCCCTGTTCTTGTGTGCCGTTCACCTTGCTCAGTTTGTTCGGTTCAGCAAACATTCCTGGAAACCCTTCTGTGTGCCAGGTACCAGCTGCCCTGGGAGTCCAAAGATGAACCGGGCCTCTCCTTCCCCTGGGTAGCTTCTAGTGTGGTCTTGAAGTTTATTAAGCCAGAGCTTACTCTCTAGGCTTGGTTTTCTGCATTTGTTCACCAAAGGTAATAGTGTAGCTGAGGCCCTGAGATGAGCTATTTTCATCAAACTTTTATCAGATATTTGAAGCACAGTTATCTGTCAGGGATTTATGGATTAGCAAACTTTTACTTTTAATGAAATTTACCTTTTGAAGAAGACCTACATTCATTTTGTACTGGTATATTTTGAGTTACTGCCTTTAAAAAAATCCTCTTATTTAAAAACTAAAGATTAAACATAACTGATAACCAATTTCTGAAAAAGCTTAATGTCATCACCAAATGGAAAAGTACTTTGAACCTAGTGAGGGGAAAAAACATCATGCCTTATATTTTTTCCCTTTTCTTATATCCCTAGAACCTACTTTAGGAATCTGGGTGGGCCTATTCCTTTTAGGGGTATTGGGCTACAAGGAATAAAAGAAGGGAAGAGGGGGCAGAGATTGGTACCTGGAATTTTTGAGACAGGCTGGGAAGTTGAAGAGTAACTGCTGCACCCCCCATAGCGACCTGCTTGTTTTCATTTATGGTTTTGTTAGAGAGCATCACTGAAGATGGATGCATTGCTGAGATTCACATATAAAGTTATTTTATAAACAACTAGGCCGAGCACCATTACTACCAGTCACTGATTATCCTTTGGGTGTTCACTATAGTAGGATTTCTTTTATCGCTTTGTATGATTCTGGCTTGAAAAATATTAGCTTACTTTTTTTTTTTTTTTTTTTGAGACGGAGTTTCACTCTTGTTGCCCAGGCTGGAGTGCAGTGACACGATCTCGGCTCACTGCAACCTCTGCCTCCCGGGTTCAAGCAATTCTCCTGCCTCAGCCTCCTGAGTAGCTGGGATTACAGGTGTGCACCACCACACCCAGCTAATTTTTTTGTATTTTTAGTTGAGATGGGGTTTCACCATGTTGGCCAGGCTGGTCTTGAACTCCTGACCTCAGGTAATCACCTGCCTTGGTCTCCCAAAGTACTGGGATTATAGGCGTGAGCCACTGTGCCCAGCCATTAGCTTACATTTTGTTGCTAGGATTTATTAATAAAAAGGTAATTCACATGGAATATATGTTGTAAACATAGTAACTGGGAAATACTGTAAACAGACAGATTCAGCCAATTCTCTTAAATTAATATTGTTGGATATTTATTAGTGCATATGGATAATCTTACTATATGTACATGAAATCAAAGGCTGCTTCTGCCCCTGAGCTGTGTATTAGATGATTCATGTATCTATGCACGGGTATGATTCCTCAGCTCTTTCTAAATTAAATTATGTATGGTGGGAGAATTAGTTTGGAATACATAGGAAGTTTTAATTTCTTTTTTTTTTTTTTGAGACGGAGTTCACTCTTGTTACCCAGGCTGGAGCGCAATGGCGCGATCTCGGCTCACCGCAACCTCCGCCTCCTGGGTTCAGGCAATTCTCCTGCCTCAGCCTCCTGAGTAGCTGGGACTACAGGCACGCGCCACCATGCCCAGCTAATTTTTTTTGTATTTTTAGTAGAGGCGGGGTTTCACCATGTTGACCAGGATGGTCTCGATCTCTTGACCTCGTGATCCACCCGCCTCGGCCTCCCAAAGTGCTGGGATTACAGGCATGAGCCACCGTGCCCGGCTTTTTTCTTTTTTTTAAGACAGGGTTTCATCATGTTGGTCAGGCTGGTCTTGAACTCCCGACCTCAGGTGATCCGCCTGCCTTGGCCTCCAAAGTGCTTGGATTACAGGCGTGAGCCACCACACCCGGCCATAGGAAATTTTTATATGTATTTTTAAAAATTTGTCCAATGCCTAAAATTATCAGAACAAAGGAGGGGTGACATCCTGGCAAGGCATTCTTCCACATGGCTGTTCTTTAATATCTTCCTACAGAAAGTTTTTGTCATGCCAAACATGGATGATGTTTATATCCCTATAATGCACTCAGCCATGGACCCTCGCTCCACTTCCTGTCTCCTGAAAGACCCACCTGTGGAGGCTGCTGATCAGCCATGATGGGTGACGTAGGATGTTCCCCGTATTGTGACATCAAGCTGGACGTGTGGGGTTCTTGGCCGCCATCTGTACTGTAGCACTGGCCTCTACTTGTGCCACAGCTACAGTTTCTTAAAGGACTGCTTCTGCCCCCTGCCTGCCAGTGCCCATTCCACTGTGAGGTGTCATTCCCTGCATCCAGTGACAAATGTCTGGTTTGCCTGCTGCAAAGCTTTGATTTGGCAAAGGAGACTGTGGAAGAATCATGGTGGATCCAGAAATTACAGGTGACCCACACCATGGCTTTTAAAAGTCTACCCATTTTTGTGGCAGCAAATGAGCACAGTAAGAGCAAAGCTGAGCAACTTGCCTCCTCTACTCCAAAGCTTTTCTTCAGGCAGCCGGTGCACAGTGGGACTTTTTCACTTCTACACTTCATACGCGGCCTTCCACACTTCCAGAGAATGTGTCAGTGTGCAATGTGTCTGGAGGGTGGGGAGAGGAATTCTGTGAGCCTTTTCATTTTGGTGACAGAAGAGATGGGCATAGCAACATACTTTTTTTCACATTAAATTGTGCATTTTGGAAGCAAGTAGCCATAGAACATACACAATAACACGCTGTCAGCTTGGGTAGGGACAGTGGGGTTTATGTGAACATCAGGCAAAGCCATGAGATTAAACCATCCCAAGCCTTTTACCAATGAGGTACAACCACCTGGTTGCTAATCTTCAGTGTTTTCATGAGACAGGAACATACATGAAAACATCAAACACTGCACATAATGACAGGATGGTTCCTCATACGGTTGGGGTGGGGCCAGAAAGCCAGAGTCAGTTTTTCCATCTGGCATTTCCTGTATCCTCCAGGTTTTATATGGCACTCTGAATGGTTTGTTAATCTGATTGGCTTGGGAGAGTTCCATGGGCAGTTTCCCTTCCTGATGGCCAAAACTGAGAACTGCTCTTAAATTATTTCAAGAGTCAAGACCAAAAGTTTGCTCAACATCACACGCTGTATCTCGGAATTAATGTGATTTTCCTTAATGTTGCCAACTTAATTTTGTGCATTTGTGTCAGAATGTTTAGTTTACAAGGTTGGGGGCTCTCTTGTATAATTTGCTTTGAGAAGTAAACCTAGTATCATTTTTTTTATTGTTTAAAGCTGCATTCAACCTCAAAATTACCTTGGGTAACTTTTGATAACTTAAATCTGTGGACAAAGCTAGTAGTGGTTTTTTAAACAGCACCTTGCCTGAACATGACTTTAAAGAAATTAATATATTGAAAACATGTTTGAACCCTTATTTTAATTGCGCCATTAAAACATTTGACTTAAATTGTTTGACCATTCCAGTTGGTGTACTGTTCTGATTTTTCATTGTGTAGGCCGATTTGCCAGTCAGTCTGCGTGTCCTGGTCACTGGTCTTTATCATTTTTGTGCAATAACTAAAGGCTACGGACTACATGCACTATCGTGTAAAGAGATTACATATGACTGTACCGTGTTGCACTTAAATAGTATGTGGGGATTGAAAATCGCTTGCATTGTTTCACAAAATAAATATCTCAAGTCAAATACTAGATAAGCATCTAAGTCATTTCTGATGAATCCTGTTCAGATAGGGGCACAATAAAATCAGTACAGAGCACCTGGGTCCTTGCCTGGCAAACACAGCTTTCATTTACTGGGTTGATCACTGCCCAGTCTTGAGGCTGCAAGGCTGTCATCACATCCTACAAACCATGTGCCATCATCCTCATCCCCCATTTAAAGAATCTGTCAGGTGTCCATATGCAAGCCTGGAGCCTGAAGTCCTGCTTGCCTCGGCTGAAGTCTCCCATCTGCTGCCTGCGTTCGCCATTGTCCCTGATCGCCCAGCAGAGCTTCCCCAGACAAAGCCCCTCATCCAACCCTGCAATCTTAACTGTTCTTATAATAATGTACATACCTCTCACCCAACCCCACCACTGTTAACTAAACTTACTCTGCAACACCCCCGCCCCCCCCACCAGAAAAAACTACCCAAACCTATAAAATGAACTCCTATTCTACTGCCCTTTGCTAATGCCCTTTATGGCCTTAGCCCACCTGCACCCAGGTGAATAAACAGCCATGTTGCTCACACAAAGCCTGTTTGGAAGGTCTCTTCATTCAAAGCGCGCGTTTTTACAACAGAATATAAAGTTCCTAACTGAGCATGTAGGGCCGTGGTGCTCCTGGGCTGGAGTTTACACCCTTCATCGTCTAGTGATCTTAATTCGGGACACCATCTAATGCCCAAGTAGTGAACGCACACATGCATCCTTGCCCACCGTTGCTGCCTTGTAGTCAGGAACTGATGCACATTTCACTAGAGATTTTGTAGAAGCTCTTCTACCAACCATAGAAACTGGACTGGTTATGAGGTGTCTATGTTGGGCCCAGCTACATATAAAATGAATTAGATTTCACAACCGCCCTATAATTTTGAGCTGTTTAGGCATGACAGATTGACCTTCCCATAGCTTTAGTCCCATGCTTGTCACACAGTACTCCTGTATGGTGATTATTTGTAAACAGGTCTATTACCCTTTAGCCAGGAGTTAACTCATGCAGTTCCATACCGAATCTGTTTAAAGTACACAGTGGCCCTGCAGACGCCATTCCACGCAACCTTCAACTAACCCCTGCACGTCGGATGGCAGACACGACAGCTTGGGACATAGGACATAGGCACAGCACGCACCATGCACTCGGACGGCTGGACTGGGGAACGTATGGGAGCACAGAGGGGCACTCACTACGCAGCGGAGTCTGAGTATCTCTGTCAGCCACCACTCCCCTAACACGCCATTCCAGCCTTGGTATTACGGGATGAGGCCTGTCGTGGCAAACACCTGGAAAACTGCCCAGCCTGGCAGCCAGGTTATTTATTGTAGCTCGCGGTTAAAAGGGCCGCCGGCGGAGGGAGCAGGCGGCCCCAGTTATGCGCAAGCACGTGCTCTGGCGCTGCAGATTGACCCCCGGCGCTACTCCGAGGCGCGGCGGGGGCTCAAAGACAGCGCGCCGCCCACAGCACACACCGACACCAAGGTTGAGAGCAAACCACTTTATTGAGGGGAATGGCGTGGCAAAGCAGCATGGACGATGAGATCCGACGTCCTCAGCTGGGATCTGCAAGAATGACAGCGGATGGGTGAGCGGATGTGCGCGCGGGTGTGTGTATGGGTGTGTGTGTGCGCGCGCGACCGCCCCCTCCCAGCTCTGCTCCGGCCGGCTCAGACTCCAGTTCGCATCACCTGCGTCAGCAGTCTAACACGTGCTTTAATTGGAAAGTCATCACGGCAGGCCGGCCACCCGCCAGAGCTCCGGGGCCCACCCAGCCATAAGGCCCGCCAAGCACAACAACTTTACCTTCCGGGCTCTGCAGTCTCTGAAAGGCTGAAAAAACGGCGGCGGCTTTCTCTTAAAGGGGCCGCCCGGAGCTGGTGGGCGGGCTTTACCTCCATTAACCAATAGCAAGTTCAATTTGCGAGCACGTACGTGTCAAGTTGTGTGGTAATTGGTCGTGCTTGCTGAGTCCTCCAGAGGCTAGATGGGTCACATACCAACCATAGAGATGGGAGTCGCTCAATCTCTTAAATCCTTTTGCGTTTCAGCGTCTCCAACGCCAGCTGCTAATGAACGCCTCTCTGTGCAGTACACAAAAGAAAACTTTACCAAGAGCAGGGCACAAATGATGCCTAACTTGTGTGACATGTTCTGTACCAGGAGCTAGGAGTTGAGAATGTAAAGTTGAAAACTGCCCTCGAGTGCAAAGTAACCTGTTGTAGTAGAAAGAGCTTGTATTGAAAGTGGACGGATCTGCGCCACATCCTGATTTTGTGATGCATTCGCTCTGTGACCTTGCGCTCTTAACTTTTCTCAGCCTCAATTTCTGGAAATTAGGAATACTCCCTCCACTGCCAAAAAAAAAAGGGGGGGGGTGAATTAATGCCAATTAAGTGGTAAACAAAGGTTTTTAAAGGACAGGGGTGATGTGGAAAACTTCCTGGGACTGCAAAACTTTAATAAATGCTAAAATAGAGATATGAATAGCCTACTGTAGAAGCCCAAAAGACGGAAAGCCTAATTTAGGGAAAGCTTCGCAGAGTTGATTGAGCCCATTCACCGGAAATACAGGTGGATGAACGAGAGTTTGCTCTGCTGGGTACACGAGCAGTTACAATCGCTGATTATCTTTATTGCCTCCCTGCTTTCCTTGGGAATTCTTTTCCTTTTTTCCTCTTAATACGGAAAATGCATTTTTTTTGGGGGGGGTAATAAAGCATTTCACCCTCTGAGTTTGCAGTTGAATGGGCTCTTACTTTCGTTATTTTCTGTATAGACTTTAAATTCAAAAAATTTCTCTTTGGCCGGGCGCTGTGGCTTATCACAGCTTATCACAGCTGATCACCTGAGGTCAGAAGTTCAAGAACAGCCTGGCCAACATGGCGAAACCCTGTCTCTACTAAAAATACAAAAAATTAGCCAGGCTAACCAGGCAGGGTGGCAGGCACCTGTAATCTCAACTACTTGGGAGGCTAAGGCAGGAGAATCGCCTGAACCCAGGAGGTGGAGGTTGCAGTGAGTCGAGATCGAGCCATTGCACTCCAGCCTGAGCAGCAAAGTGAGACTACATCTCAAAAAAAAAAAAGATTCCTCTTTAATCCAAAACAGTAATGATTTTGACAAATGTTTAGTAACCTCTAGATTATTTATTTTGTTTCTGTTTTAACCTTTGTTATCTCAACATTTATTACATTATGGTACACTTTCTGCATTGGGCAATGTATGAAAGTTTTCTTTGTGACCTAAAATATCAGTTTTTATAAGCGTTCCACAGATTGTTGAAATGAAGATGTTTTCACTACCATGTACAAACATGGCATAAAATATGTATTAATTCAACCTTAATTGTGTTGTAATTACATTGTCCACTGCACTTTACATGTATATCTCTTTATGTTGGATTTTTTTTTTTTTTTTAGACTGAGTCTTGCTCTGTTACCCAGGCTGGAGTGTAGTAGCATGATCTCAGCTCACTGCAACCTCCCCCTCCTGGTTTCAAGCAATTCTCCTTTCCTCAGCCTCCCAAGTAGCTGGGATTACAGGCCTGTGCCACCATGAATGGCATAATTTTTGTATTTTTAGTAGAGATGAGATTTCACCATGTTGGCCAGGCTGGTCTCGAGCTCCTGACCTCAGGTGATCTGCCTGCCTTGGCCTCCCAAAGTGCTGGGATTGAAGGTGTGAGCCACCGTGCCCAGCCTATGTTGGATTTTTATAATGGTTTCTAGTTTTTACTTTTACAATCAAAGCTGCTTCAGGTATTCTTGTGTGTATGCAAGAGTTCTTTCAGGGTATGTGTGTAGGACCATAACTGCTGGGCAGCAGGGTAGACACATTTTCAACTTTCTAAATAACAGCAAATTATTTCCTGAACTGGGTGCCCTAATTTGCACTCCCATGTTGGCATACACCTTTGCCAATTCTTGATATTGTCAGCATGGTAAGTATCAAACAGTATCTCATTGTAGTTTGAATTTTAACAGGGTTTAATATTTTTATATGATCATTAATCCATTTGCAGTCATGTTTTCTGTTCTATAGGTGCTCTTTTAAAAATCAACTTTAGGCCAGGCACTGTGGCTCACGCCTGTAATCCCAGCACTTTGGGAGGCCGAAGCAAGAGGGTCACCTTAGGTCAGGAGTTCAAGACTAGCCTGGCCAACATGGCGAAACCTCATCTCTACTAAAAATATAAAAATTAGCTGGGCGTGGTGGTGCACACCTGAAATCCCAGCTACTCGGGAGGCTGAAGCAGAAGAATCGCTTGAATCTGGGAGGCGGAGGTTACAGTGAGCCCAGATCACGCCATTGCACTCCAGCCTGGGCAACAGTTCATTGCTGGTATATAGAAATGCAATTTTGATTAATTTAAATTTTATTTTACTAAAATTATTTTAATAAATTTTTGTAATTTTTAAATTTTTTGTAAATTGATTCCATCTTCCATGGGGTGGGTACAATCAAAGGTGAACTTGAGAACTGGCTTCTATTTTTTACCCCACCTCATCACAAGCTTTTCACAGGTGCCCTGGAAGTAGTAGAGGCAGGAAAGGCCCATGGGTTATTTAGAAGAATGATGTTTAATATCCAAATAGCGGCGGGCGGGGTGGCCCACGCCTGTCATCCCTGCACTCTGGGAGGCCAAGAAGGTGGATCACCTGAGGTCAGGAGTTTGAGGCCAGCCTGGCCAACATGGAGAAACCCTGTCTCTACCAAAAATACAAAAAATTAGCCAGGCATGGTGGCGGGCGCCTATAATACCAGCTACTAGGGAGGCTGAGGTAGGAGAATCGCTTGAACCCAGAAGGCTGAAGTGAGC